CAGCCCCTCAAATATTGGAACACTGCTATCATGTCTCCCCTGGTCCTTCTCTTCATTAGACTAGCAATGCCCAGGTCCTGTAAACGTTCTTCATATGTTTCAGTCTCCAGTCCTCTAATCATCCTGGTTACTCTTCTCTGCACTTTTTCTAGAGTCTCAACATCTTTTTTATAATGTGACCAAAATTGGATGCAGTACTCTAGGTATGGTCTTACTAGGGCTTTATAGAGTGGTATTAGTACCTCACTTGATCTTGATTGTATCCCTCTGTTAATGCACACTCCTGGCTCATATTTAGCTGGTTGTCCACTAAGACTCCAAGATCCCTCTCACAGTCACTGCTATTAAGCCTGGTTTCACCCAGTTTATATGTGTACTTTTGATTTTTCTTAGCTATAAAACTAAACTAAACATTTTGTTAGGTTTTCCAGCCAATAGGTATCTGGGTTTGTGTTTCACTGTACACTGCTTTTTTTCTTAATCATGGTGTGTTGAGTAAGCCAAAATTTGGCTGGGTTTACATGACATTCTATGCCAAAACCCAAATACATTTCATTAGGACTTTATGTGATACGATACCCAGCCAGTGAGACCAAAAAATTTTTTTTATGCAAGGATGATAATTGTCCAATATATCTGTGGTATGTTGGCGCAGTGGTTAAATGCAGTACTGCAGTCTAACTCTGCCAACTGCCAGGAGTTTGACCCTCAACCGGCTCGAGATTGACTCTGCCTTTCATCCTTCTGAGGTTGGTAAAACATGGACCTACATTGTTGGGGGCAATATGCTGACTTTGTAAACTGCTTAGAGAGGGCTGTAAAGCACTGTGAAGTGGTATGTAAGTCTAAGTGGAATTGCTATTGCTATATCTGAGCATAAATCTTTGTGCCTACATATAACCTAATGGAAAACTCTTGCGAATACAATTGTCTACTTAAAGATCCTTCAAAACTAACCTTACTATCTTGCATATATAGAGATCAAGGTAAAAGGATCAAATTGGAGGTAGAGTCCACCTGCATTATATTATACACATGCACATACTGTACATGAAAATGTAGTTAACCAATAGCAAGGATATCAATGGTGGCCAATCAGACGATGTCAGTCCATAGAGACAGGAGAATCTGCGTCAAAGCTCACTTAAGCAAAACTCATCTCTTTACATCTTTACAGGTGGGAATAGAATAAAACCAGCTCAGTGTGCATCACAGCATTTGATTTCTCACCTCTGGAAGTTGCAAAACACATTTGCTAGCCTGAAGACATTGACTTCCTTCAGGACACAAGTGGGGATCCTTCATCTTTTGGCTTCTGTGCAAAACAAGATAAGAGGAACACAGGAAAATATTTATGCATATCATTTAAAGTATGAGCCCCCCCCCAAAAAAGGGGGCGCTGGAAGCAAATAGTAAATAATAGCAGCCCTTCTAAGATCAAATAAAGTTAACAATTTTACATTACACTCCAAAACTGTAACGTTTTTATATGACCCATTCTTTCAAAGACTTGAAGCACTATGTTCATACATTTCTAAGAGACAAATTGCTTCTAGGGAATTTCATGCGTGTAAACTTTGAATCTAATCTGTGCGATCCAAGAACAGTACTTGAACTATATAAATACCACTAACTCTTGGTTATTATTTTTTTGTAGTGCATTCTTGTCCAGTAAATAAATTAGTCCTGGGAATTGCTAGAACTGGTGCATGATGAGACTTGGGGTATCTGCATGCGAACTTACACTGAAGTTTCAGTCCAATGTATTAGCATTTAAAGAATTCTGCCCTTTAAATGAGCTGAACCTTATAGTTCAAATGCAGAGTTCATCTATCCTTTAAAATTAAAAAAAAAACTGGGGCCAAAAATTCTTTTCCTCAGACATAGATGCAAATATCCCAACTGAACACAATCAGGAAGTTGCAGCTTTAAATAGTTAGGAAGAAAACATACACAGGAAAGTATGTTTGTTATTTCTAATTAGGGTTTTGTAAAAGAACGTTTTGCATGTAAAAATGCAAAGAGAAAAATAGGAACCACTTTTAGTGGGAAGGTAACAATGTTCCGTGCGCCACATGCCGGCCACATGACCTTGGAGACGTCTTTGGACGGCGCTGGCTCTTCGGCTTTAAAACGGAGATGAGCACCATCACCTAGAGTCGGGAACGACTAGCACATATGTGCGAGGGGAACCTTTACCTTTAGAAGTTTTGTATATTGTTAGTTGTAATGATTCCCCATGGTTACATAAAATCATAATTTATGAAATTTTAAATTATCGTATGAAATATTACTGAAGATTTCCAGATTTAGAAGCTCACAGAGTTGCCTGGTTAAAGGCACCAGCAATTGTGTTTATATATAGAAGTGTGTTAACAATACACACTTGTAGCAATATCTATCTTATCTGAAAAAAATCTACATAAAGCAGCTTTCAGCCTTTTTTTAGTCGTGTTTACATTTCAGAATTGTACCTACCTTGTTGCTCTACTGCTGAATATTTTTAATGAGAAGGTTCTGGATAATCAAGGCAAAACATTGACTTCCACTTTATTCTTACCCACAGTTTACCATGTGATTTGTATTCAAAGATACCGTCTTACATTACTCTAGGAACGCATACAAAAATAAAATAGCTTCTTATATAAAATGTTTACCTAAGCACTACATTTTCATGATGTTAATTTGTCTGACGTTGGTTCTAGCTTGACCTTTTTCTGTCTTTGCTTAATTGCTTCTATGTGTGAGCGCCCCATTTAGCCTCATTACCTGCTCAGACAGCTGGTGAACCAGCTGTGATGCAACTCAACCCATCAAGGCTACATGAACAGATTAAAAAAAGGGGGCTCCCATAGGGGAAACTCTCACACACTCACTTGACTCCACACTTCAAAATTGTCCTTGCTAAAGAAGGCTCTTCAGAAGGGGGTTTGGTGGGGATAACATTCTTGGAACTAGAAGGCAAGGCAAGGAAGTCCACCCCCATGAGTCCCATATTTGGACCCCATTTCTGTAAGAACTAGGAAGAGCAGACAATTATGAAATTATAGTGTTGCCTCAAAGGCCTCTACTGGCTTTTGTTTTGTTTGTTGCTTATCTCTAATTTTATTGTTCTACTCTAGAAGATGTTGCTTATCTCTAATTCTATTGTTCTACCCTAGAAATAAGAACATTTCTGGAATCCCTGCCATGTCAAGGGATTCCACCTAAAAGAAATGATACCTAGAGGAGGAGTAACCAACCTTTCGGACCTCCGGGACCACTAAATTGATAATTTTAAATCCCGTGGACTGCTAATATGATTTCTTTTAAAAAGATAAATAGCATTTAGTGCAATATAAAAATGCAAATATTTTTTCTGAGGACCACTAAAATTTTCTCACGGACTACCAATGGTCCATGGACACTGGTAGGTGACCACTGACCTAGAGCTTCTGGGGAAGATGTGCTATAAATCTAACAAAGAATAAAGAAATCTGTTACTGCCCTGAATTTTGGCATGATAGAAAACTCCAAAATCTTTTCTTTAGTTTTAATCACTTTTTGATATAAAAATGTCTTATTAATGTTCACAGAGCAAATAAATAAATGAAATTTATGGCTATGATAAGGTGCGTAAGAAAGGTTTCTCTAATACTCACCCTCTTTTTACATAGTCTCCCCTACTGATTTCATCTGGTTCAATACAAATATTCATGAAGTCTTCTTCACGCTGAAACAAGTATTTCCAAAAGAGAGATGTCAGTACTAACATCCCAGCATCTCACAAATATTCCAGGCATATTTGTGAAAAAATATTTGCTTTCTCCTTTGAGAAAGTAGTCTAACATTTACTCATGTATGGATTAAAAAGACAGAGTCAGCTACAGCCGAAACTGTGGAAGGAATTTAAATAAACTGGTTAAAGAGAAAAGTGATTGTCTAAAATCAAGAAAGAAGAAAGCAAATAAGCATAGTGCACAAAATTGTCTGCTACAACGTCTTACCTGTCAACGACTACTTCAGAATCGATACAAACTCAAGCTAAACCATTCCAAACTCGATTGCAGAAAATACGACTTCAGCAACAGAGTCTTCAATCCCTGGAATTCTCTACCTGACTCCATTATTACATCCTCAAACCCCAACAGCTTTGACCTTAAACTGTCTACCGTGGACCTCACCCCATTCCTAAGAGGTCCATAAAGGGGGCGTGCATAAGTGCGCAAGCGTGCCTACCGTCCCTGTCCTACTGTCCCCATTTATTTGTACTCATTTCCCGTGTTCATGTCCATGTTTATTCTTATACCTGCTATCTTGTACATGTTTGACTAAATAAATAAATACATCTGAGCAAACCATTGAATTCTGAAGAGAGGCAAAGCCATGAAGACAAAGCTCTCAGAAATGAACTTAACCAAAAATTTCAGAAAGATGTTAGAAGATACAAGAAGCAGCATTATAGCAACCTCTATAAAGACATCAAAAACGAGAACAAGGAAACTTTTCCAAACAATCTCAGAATTCAGGACAAGGTTCCAACTTTGAACTGGTGCGCCAAAAACGCCGCAAACTCAAATCAGAGAAGATTTTTTTAAAAAGTATAGTAGAAAAGTCAACATTTAAGATATCTTAGAAGATAGTCCCTATTTTTTTTAAAAAAAATCTACGCCTAGAAGATGAAATTAGATAAACACTTATGTTACTAAGTCAGAAGGCTATAGTTATTGATGGAATATTTACAGAAATATGGCAAGCAACAGATAAATCTGTAAAGTTGTAACAAAACTTCCAGCAAATGTGTGGAGCGATATAGTAGGCAACAGACTGCAAGAGAACGTTCTATATATACCCGTGATGGCGAACCCATGGCACATGTGCCGGAAGTGGCATGCAAAGCCATCTCTCCAGGCACGCGAGTCATCGCCCGTTGCTGGTTTGAAATCTGGTGCACTGGCCAGCTGGTCTTCATGTACATGGGAGCGCCAGAAACCAGAAGAGCGGGCGCCCAGTGCGTATGCACATGCTGGGAAGATGATCTTCTGGTTTCTGGTGTGTGCATGCGCACGGGCCACTTGGTCTTCTGGTTTCTGGTGCACTTCCATCCTTCTGAGGTCGGTGAAATGAGGACCCAGATTGCTGGGGGCAACATGTTAACTCTGTATACTGCTTAGAGAGGGCTGTGAACCACCATGAAGCAGTATATAAGTCTAAATGCTCTTGCTATCAAAGAAAGATGAGATAACGAAGTATGCAAGCTGTTGTACAACAGCCTTAATTTCACATGCTAACAAAATAATACTTGAATAACAAAAAAATGACAACAATAAACAGAGCTTAGAGCCCTACATGGAAAGAGTGATGCCAGATATTCGAATTGCTTTAGAAAAGATCAAGAACATAAGATATTATTGCTGGTGAATGCTGGATAACTGAGAAAGTCAAAGACTGGCAAAAAGAAATTGATATCTGCTTCATTGATGCTAGAAAGGCTTTTTATTGTGTCAATTATGTCAAACTGTAAGATGCACTTAGAAAAATAGGGATCCCTGAACATCTTATTTGAAAACTATACACAGGTCAGGAAGACAAAGTCCAGATGGAACATGACAAAATAGAATGGCTTCATATTTGCAAAGGAATGAAATAAGACGGTATACGCTCCCTCTTTTTATTCAATCTATATAAAGAATATAAATAAGGGGCAGCTGGATAGAAAGAAGACGGATGTGGTTTTAAGGCTGAAGAAAGAAACATCAATAATCTGCACGATGCAAAATTTGATAGCTGAAAATGCAAATGAACCCCGAGCTCCGATAGCAGGAGATCTGAGTGGAAAGGGAGCAGAGTAGGAAAAAAAAATCATTCTTGGATAACCATAAAGAAAATCAAAGTAAGACAACAGATTCAGCAAGTAGGTTTAAAAATGGCAATGAAGACACTGAAGTGGTAGATAATTTCTGCCTTTAAGGTTTGATTATCAATAGTAAAGGAGTTAAGAAACACACCACAAAATAGCACCTAACTGTCAAATTGGGGAAAGGTTATTAAGGGGGAGGGGGGGAGGTTGAACTTCTATTGTCTTACTTTAAGATTGAGATTCCTGTTTTGAGTAGTGATGCAGAATTCAAGGGCAGACAATGGAATTTCATTCCAGGCCTCTGGGGTCTCCTCCTTTGGGATTTCTGAAGTCCAAGAAAATTAAGTAGCAAGTTAGACAATGCACCATTTTATTTGGTTTGGTTTTTTTGTTGCCCTTTTAGTATTTATTATGTGTCTGTCATCTGCACCCCTATAACTGTCTTGTTTGGTTCTGCAACCCAACAAGACAGACGTCGACTTCAGAGGATAATTAGAACTACAGAAAAAACAGTTACTATCAACCTGCTTTCCATTGAGAACCGTGAGGGCCATGAAAATATTTACAGACCCCTCACATCCTGGACATAAATTGTTCCAATTCCTATCCTCAAAAGGATGCTATAGAGCACTGAACATAACAACTAGACACAAGGACAGTTTCCCCCTGAATGCCATCACTCTGCTTAACAACTAATTCCCACAACACTGTCATATTACCTACTAAGACTGTATTAATATTACTATTAATCTTCTCATCATTCCTATCACCCATCTCCTCCCACTTATGACTGTATGACTGTAACTTTATTGCTTGAATCCTTACGATTTATACTGATTGTTTCCTGGTATGATTTGATTGCTTATTTGTACCCTATGACTATGATTTGTGATGTACCTTATGATTTGTGATGAATGCATCTTCTATGTACACTGAGAGCATATGCACGAAAGACAAATTCCTTGTGTGTCCAATCACACTTGGCCAATAAAGAATTCTATTCTGTTCTATTCTATTCCATTCCATTCCATTCCACCCTACTTTACCCTACCCTACTCTATTCTATTTTTTATTTTATTTTTATTTATTTATTCGTTGTAGGGCTATTCTATACCAGGGGGTCTTCAACCTTGGCAACTTTAAGCCTGGAGGACTTCAACTCCTTAAAGTTGCTCTAGACGCCTTTCAATAATAAAAAGGAAGAAAAATGCAAGGCATGTAAACAGAAATAAAATAAAGAATGATAAAGAAACACAACAGAAGAATATATCAATATGATACACCAAAAAACATGGATGGGTGAAGACCAGAGAGCAAGGAGGGAAGAATCTGCTCTCAATCTAGCAGACCCCTGCAGTATGGAACTCTCCCCACGTGGTTCCCTCATGCCAACTGGTAGGGCCAGGACGTCACTTTGTGCATATTTTGCTTACCTTTGGGAGAGGGTGTCCAATAATATGCAAGTCTCTTATAAAGCCTAATGTACAAAGGAGGTCGAGATGTCTTCTGCTCTGGCTCCTCAGGTGGCCTCGGAATGGGGCCCAAATAGGTAAGGGAAGCTTGATGTTTCTGAGGCCACTCCTTGGAATTTGACAAAAAGGAAGAAAAGCATCAGAGTATGAAAATGTGTGTGTGTATTCCATATACTTAAAACCAGAAATATTTCTATTGCATATCATACAAGAAAAATATAATATAGGGAATATGTACTTAATGCTATGTGTGCTAACGGCGGCTAGAATTGTATTTGCACAACACTGGAAGAGCATAGAGATCCCTACAGAAGAGAATGTAATAAAAAATACTAGAATGTGCAGAAATGGACAGATTAACACTTAAAATTAAAGACAGGGAAGACACTGAATATTTCTAAATATGGGATTTGTTCTATCCATGGTTATCGACTAGAAACAGAAGCTAGATTTAAAAAACAAAATATAAGAGAATGACTAACTTTGTAGAAATGGTTTACTAAATGGATAAGTAAGCACTATTGTCACATGTTTATTATCAATGTTTTGATGAGATATCGTTGTTACTATATGGTGACTACTGTTATGAATGCTATTGTTATGATGATGATATGATATGATGATGATGATTACTCAAAATAACTATACCCAGACAACACAGTTTATATAGACATTGAAATTTTCGCTTTCTATAAATATTTTTATTTAAAAAATGAAAATGTATGTGTATTCCAATGCAGACTGAAAAAATGGATGGCCAAAAAACAGGGGCAAAGAAGTGATAGCAAGGTAGGAAATCACAGATAGGAAAAAGGCTGCTTTCTCCATTCAATTATTCTACTAGCTGCACTCCATTTCTATACAGAGCTGTGGTGGTTAGAGCTAGAATGAATGAAGTACTGCAGGCTAACTCTGCCAACTGCCAGCAGTTCGATCCTTAACTGGATCGAGGTTGACTCAGCCTTCCATCCTTTTGAGGTGGGTAAAATGAGGACCCAGATTGTTGGGGGCAATAGGCTGAGTCTGTAAACTGCTTAGAGAGAGCTGTAAAGCACTACGAATGGAGTATATAAGTCTAAGTGCTGTTGCTATCACTATTCTCATTTAGGGAATAAGGTCTTGAGATAATAAGTAGGGAGGGAAACATTAACCATCCCATTTTCTATTTCTGCCCTTCCCAGCTATTTGCAACTGAATTATTCAGGTCATTTCCTGCTGAATGCATAGGTCAATCATAAGCCCTATCATATTTCACAGGGAAGAACATGCCAGAGAAAGCAGGATATGAAACAGCAAAAGTTACATAGAAGTTCAAACAGTAAAATTATCTGTGTGACTATGGCTGCCTTTTTAATAAACTACATGTACTCATCAGTGGTGGGTTCCGGCTCCGGTTGCAACCGGTATGCTACGCAGAGGGCTGGGCATGAGCACAGCCATGCATGCACACGTCAGTGCCCTGTGACACCCAGCTGCTCAACGGAGCTCGTGCAGGCGCCGCACAGTGTGCGCGCATGCGCAATAGGCCTGGTCGCTTCAAGAACAGGTAAGGAATGCGGGCAGGTGGGCCAAACGAGCCACCATAACAGTACAGTGGTCGCTGCCGAGGTGGCACAGTGGTTAGAGTGCAGTACTGCAGGCCACTTCAGCTGACTGTTATCTGCAGTTCAGCGGTTCTAATCTCAACGGCTCAAGGTTGACTCAGCCTTCCATCCTTCTGAGATGGGTGAAATGAGGACCCAGACTGTGGGGGCGATATGCTGACTCTGTAAACCGCTTAGAAAGGGCTGAAAGCTCTATGAAGCAGTATATAAGTCTAACTGCTATTGCTATATTGCTACTATCGGCATGTCTGTACTGGGCCGTACCACCCGGAATCCACCACTGGTACTGATTAAAGCATGGAACCTAGATTAAAAAAAAATACATGGCCTAAAGCAGCAATGTTTCATCTCAGAATTTCCGAGTAAGAAATAGTGGCATGCAGAAACTGAATTTACTCTCCTGTTTCAATAAATGAAAGGATTTAAAGATTACACCAGTTTTAATACTGATCATAAAATCATAGAATGTAAGCATCGAAAAGTCCCTTAGAGATTATCCCTAATGTAGCATCCCTCACAGATGTCCACTCTGCCTCCCCTTAAACACCTTCAGTGCTGGAGAATCCAGCACTGTTTCATTGTTAAAAAGCTCTTTCCATTTAGAAAAATTTCCTGATATTCAACTGATGTCTACTTTCTCATAATTGAATCCCGCTGCTCCTTGCCCCCTCTTCTGGGATAATTCTAAATAAGTCCTTTCCCTCTCCAAATGGAGTCCTTATGATTGTTGAAAATAGCCTTCACCTTTCCCTGCAATCTTCTCTTCTCTGGCTAAACAGGTTTCCAAGCTTTCCTCTTAATTTTTCTCTCTCTCTTTTAGGCTCCTTATCATACTCCAATCCAATGTCCTATCTAAAATGAGACAGCCAGAATTGGATGCAATATTTTACATGTATCAAAGAAGAACAGAGAACAGGGGCTTCTCCCCTCCATCCTATGCACATGTATTTTATTTTTCCTATCCAAATGGAGGGCTTTGCATTTGTCCCTGTTGAAATTCAACTTGTTGGTTTTTGCTTGATGTTCTGTCTTGTCAAGTTCCTCGTGAATCTTGCTACTAACTAATCCTTATCTTTGTTTCATGTGCAAATTTGATAATTGTGTTTTCTAATCCCTCTTCCAAATAATATATAAACACACCGTATTTTTTGGAGTATAAGATGCAACAAAAGTAGGGCAAAAACGAGCAAAAAGGATATGGATAGTCTTTAGGTAGCTTATAGCGTGCTTCTGGGGAGTGGGGGGGGG